CTCAGGCCCCTGTGCCGGGGCCGCCTGCGAAGGGAGGCGGCGTCGGCCGTCGGCAGCACCGCACACGCGTCCGAGCTAGCGAGGGGGCAGCGCGGAGCGGTGTGGAGGCTGCACTTCGGCAGCCGCGGCGCTGACCTGCAGAAGCGTTCGACGAGCCGCCGCTGTCTGCTCGGCGGTGCGCAGGGGGATGGTCCGGAAGCCAGTGTTAGTGGAGCTCTCACTGGCGCCGAGGTGGCTCCCGTCAGACTGGTGGCTGGGGCGCGTGATGCCTGACTTCGAGCGGCTGCTCAGGATCGCGCTGCTCACCTCTGCGTTGCTGCTGCTGCTGCCGGTCGTGAGGCCAGGGCTTTTCAGCAGGGCGCTGCCGGTCAGGAGAAGGCCGAGCCGTCTCCGACGCGCCGTGGGTGGAGCGCCGTTGCTCCACGCAGCTGGCATCGCAGATCTTGCGCAACGTAACTTGTACCACATAATTATGGTGTCCCGATGTGTGTCCCGATGGGTGTCCTGATGGTGTCCTGGTGGTGAGTCGAAGCGGGGTGTCTGGGGGCGCTGGCGGGGCCTCCAAGGGCGCTGTCGGGGTCGTCAAGCTCGGCGTGCGCACGACCGCTCGCAGCGGGCACGGCGGGGCAGAGCTCCTGGGATCCGGAGCCGCCCTGCTGCATGGGCGGCGCGGCGTGCTGAGCGCGGGGCCGCAGCAGCAGGAGCATCGTCATCGGGAAGAGCGACGCGGTAGGCCTCCGTGGTGGCAGGGCGCTCTCGCCGAGGGCTGGTCCGCGGAGCCCGTGGAGACTGCGCCTCGGAGCTCGCAGAAGGGGGCGACCGGCGCCGACGGTCGTCGGGGGGCTCGGCGAAAAAAAGGCGGCGCCCCCTCGCCACTCGCGCGGGCAAGAGGGGCCGCAGCTCCAAGCGGCGTTGGCGGCGCACGTGGCGCACGCCGGGACCCGAGGCGCCACCTCGGTGGTGGGGGGGTCGTCGCTTCTTAGGCGCTTGGTGGTGTCGTCCAGCAGGCGCTAATTACGAGGCACCTGCGTGGGGGGGGGCCCAGGCGGGAGAGGCGCGCGCCAGAGGCAGTCCACTCCCGCAGCGAGGGGTCACCTGATGCGGTTCGTCGTCAAGTGAGCCGTTGGGCGCAGGTGCCGGCTCCGCGCCGCTGTCGTCGGTGGTGGCCGACGGGGCGGGGGCCGCGGCCAATTCGGCCAGGCGCCAGCTGGCTGCAGGGCCCTGGGCGACGGCTGCGGCGCCGTGGCGCACTGCTGGACGGGAGGGCCAGCTCCGAAGGAGAGGGCGGTGTCCAGGTCCAAGATCAGGGTGCCCGAGTCCAGAAATCGGCATCTCGCGGAGGTGCGTCAGCTACCGTGGCCGCGGCGTCGCTCCTGACAGGGGCGGCGGGGGCGCGCGGGAGCTGGTAGCAGTGCGCGCGGCAGAGCTGGGGTCGCCCATGCCCGCTGCCGGCCGCGCGGCGCACGGGGCTGAGCTGAGCTCCCCCGTGCCGTGTCGGCAAAGTCCGTCGTAACGGGGCCCGCGGGGTCGCGCGGCTGCTGGGGCCCGAGCGGGGGGCCATGGGCCGCGCGCGGGGGCGAGCTGGGCTCGCGCAGCACGGCTGCTAGCGGCCTCTCGGGGCCTTCGGCGCCAATTGCGGCGGCGTCGGTCAGCGTAGGCCGCGCGCTAGCTGGGACGCGCGTGGCTGCGCAAGAGGCCAAGCTGAACTCGCCCTGTCTACTGCCGGTGACGCGGCGCCCGGCGGTGCACCGTCAGAAGAGCAAAGGGGGGGGGCCTGCCGCGACGTCGGCGTCGGCAACGTCAGTCGTATCGGGGCCCACGTCCCACGTCGCAGGGTCTAGGGGCTGGGTGCGGCGTGGCTGTCAGTGACCCGCCCCCCCAGCGGGGTGTCGGCGTCGGGGGACGCGCTGGACTTGATGCCAGCGGCGGCGACTTCGGTCAACGAAGGCCGCTCACTGCCTGTGACGGCGCCAGGGCACTGGGCCGGGGTGGTGGAGGCAACTCCGGCGGCGACAGCCGCCCGCTCGCCCTCGTGGAGGTGCGAGGGAACGGCAAGGCGACGGAGGCGGAGGGCGGCGGGCGAATGGAGGCCCAGCGGAGGCCCAGCGGAGGCCACACAGCAGCTGCGGCGAGGAACCGCTGCGTGCGTAGGGTGACCCACTCGACGTCCGCGCGAGGCGTCGGGAAGCTGGCTGCATCTGCGTCCGCGCAGGGCGTCGGAACGCTGGCTGCCTGCGCGCGAAGCGCCACGCTCACGTCGTCCAAGGGGTCGTAGTCCTCCTTCTTGCGAGCGTCGCGCTGAACCGACGCTTGGGGAAGTGGCTGCGCCGGGGAGATGGGCTTTCTTCGCGGCAGAACCGTAGAACTCGGCGCGCACCTGGAGGCTGGGCGTCCGGAGACGGGCCGCGCAGCCGTCAGCGAGGTGGACGACCCATGACGCGTCGGGTTCCTGCCCGACCACAACGCCGCGTAGTCCGTTGATGGGGTTGCGGATCAAGTGGCGGACAACTTTGGAGCCGACGCAGATCGAGCCTCCGAGGGGGGCTTCGGGGGCCGGTCTGCAAGGCGAAGGGGCGCGCCAGGGGCGGCGGCGCCACAAGCGCCCGACGGCCTCGTAATGCTTCGGGCCAACGCCGCCCAACCTCACACGACGCTCAACCCCGTGGAGTGGCCGGACAGAGGCTGGGCGCCAGGGCCGAAGGTCGCGTCGTCTGGAGCGGGGCCAGGTGCCTCCGCAGTGTGGGCGTCGGTGCTGGACGGCGCGGGGTCAGCGCCAACTTCAGGGGAGGGCAGGGCCTCTGCGTCGGCGCCGCCTTGGAGGGGCGTCTGCAGTGCGGCTGCGGCGCCGTCGGGGTCGAGGGGCGTCGCCGCCGTCAGCGACACGTCGCGCGGCGCCGGGTCGCCAGGAGCGCGGCGCGTGAAGGTGGCCTCGTCAGCGAGGGCGTCGGCGGCGTCATCCTCGCGGCGGCCGTCGGAAGCGACGGCGCTGGAAGCGAGGGCTGGGGACGTCAGCGTCGGAACCGCTCGGCGCGGGAGCGACGCCCGCGCCGAGGGTCGCCGCGACGGCCGCGTCAGAGGCGGTGGCACAATCGCGGGGGGGGGGGGGGGGCCGGGGTCGGCGGCGGCGTCGAGAGGAGCGTCGGCGTCGGCGACGCGGAGCGCTCCCGCCGCGGCGTCGTCGGCGCCGCGCGGCGGAGTTGCAGCGGCGCCCTCGCGGCGTTGGCGTCTGCGCTGGGGGGGCCGCCGCGGCGCGTCGGCGGCGGCGCCGGGCTCGCCCGCGGTTGGCCGCGCTGGCAAGGCCCGGCCACCGCTCCGAAGGCATCCGCCGCTGCAGTGCTGCAGGGCGCTGGGCTCCCGCGCTGATCCTGTCGCAGGCGCGGCGCGTCGAACGAGCGCCGTCGGATCGCCTGCTGCGCTCCGTCGTCGTCCGCCTAGTTCCCGGGGGCGGGAGCGGTCGAGGGCGGCGGCCGCGTCGCGGGCGGAGGCCGCGCTGCCCGAGGCGGGCCTCGCGCCGTCGGCGGCGGCGCGAGGCGCCGGCGGGGCCGGGGGCGGCCGCCTCAGGCCGAGGGGGGCGCCGGCAGCGGCAGCGCAGAGGGCCCCGGCCGGGGCGGCGGCGGCGGCGCGCGGGCGGCAGGGTTGCGGCGGGCGACCTCGCCGGGGGGGGCCTGGCCGCCGCGGGGCCGCCGTCGTGGCGCGGAGAGAGAGGCGCGGGGCCTATCGGGTCGGAGGGGGCAGGGGAGGACGGGACTGCTTCTGCCGCGCCCGTGGGGTGGCGCAGTACCTCGGCGCCGCTGGAGGGGGCGGCGCCGCGCGGACGTCGGAGCCGCGGGGCGCGGCGTCTGGCAGCAGCAGGGCGGCCTGCGTCTCCAGCTCCGGCTCCGCCTCCGACGCGGCGGGGGCGAGGGGGGGAGGGCGAAGGGCAGGCCCCGAGGCGGCGAGGGGCTGGGCAGTGGGCCTGCCAGAAGCCCGTCAGGCCAGCCTCCAGGAAGTAGAGCATGAAGGACGTCCTGGAGCCCGTCAGGGTGATGATCACGCAGTGCATCAGGAAGTACAGCACGTCCCGAAATCGTGCCGGTGTGATGGCCCTGTAGTAGATCTTGTACTGGGACCCGGTAGTTCTGTAGTGGCAGACACGACCTGGCCCGGGGTGCGCGCGGCCAGCCGGAACGGCCGCCGTCCTTCGCGGGCGGGCGCTCCGCCTCGTAGGAGATTGACTTGGGCTTGCCGAATGAGACGTACCTGTCGGCGCCCATGCCCGGGCCACAGTCTCCCCGCCGGCGGCAAGGGGAGCATGCGGCGCTATGGCAGCGCGACCGGGGAAAGCTGAAGGAAACGAAAGGCTTCGGCTCGGGCCAAAGGGGGGGGGGCCCTTGACGGTGTCGTCAGGGCCGCACGGGCCAGAAGGCAACCTTCGCGACGGCCCGCTCGAAAGTTTCGCGCCCGCGGGGCGGAACCAGTCTCGGGCCGACGCTAGGAAGAGAGGGAGAGACAGAGAGAGAGAGAGAGAAAGAGAGAGAGAGAGAGAGAGAGAGAGAAAAAAAAAAAAAAGAGAGAGATAGAGAGAAAGAGAAGAAAGAGAGATAGAGAGAAAAAAAACCCAAAAAGAGGGAGAGACAGAGAGAGAGAGAGAGAAAGAGAGAGAGAGAGAGAGAGAAAACCCAAAAAGAGAGATAGAGACAGAGAAGTAGAGAGCGGGGGCAGAGGCACGAAGATGCTCCCAACAGGACCCCAACGATTGAAAAAACAAAAAGCGCGGGGAAACAAGGGACGCGAATGGACGGCGGGGGCAACCCAGAGAAATGAGCCACGGGAGGAGGGCAGTGGAGCGGAGGAAAAAGATAAACGAGAACGAGGGGGGAGCCGCATGTGGGCTGCGCGAATGACCCCGGCGACGGAAGCGGACAGCCGACGATCCGATCGCGAGGGGAGGGCGCCAGGCAACGCGAGGCACGACGCCAAGACGCACAAGAGGGTACTGGTGGCGCGAGCCGCCCTGGCGCCTTTCTTCACGGGCTTGCCGCAGCCCATCTTGCACGCCATCCTCTCTTTCGCTTGTCTCTTCAGCTCCCAGAAGCTCTTCGCAGCTTCTCGGCGGCCGGGGATGGACAGCAACGGATGGAGCTGCGATGGTACAGGGACCCTGCATGGGAGGGCCCCGACCTTACATAGGCTGGGGAGGGCACGAATTGCATGCTCAGGGAATGCATTTGGCGAGGAGACGAGATGAGCTGCGACCTGCCTGTATACGCCAGCGAGCACACACTGCTCCACGATCAACCCGTAAAATAAGTACGCACGAGAAGGATGCAAGGGCCTCGGAAGGCCATGCCGACACTCTGCGCGCGGGGCGCGGCCAGCCGAAGCGGCCAGGGATGGGCCGAAAGGGGAAGGATGCAAGGGTAACTTTGGGAAGCTGCTCATCCTCACTATGCAGGTTGACGGTAAGCTGAGTGGGGGGACAGGGGAGACAGGGAGAAGGCGAGGCGGAGAGAACCGGCGAGGAAGACGAAGAAACAGATGCGGCGGGCAGCCGCGCAGCTGCGCGCTCTGCGGGGGCGCCTTCTTCACCGGGCTGCCAGTCCTTCGAGGCGGCCCCCTTCTCTCCGCCTCCCCTCCCTCTGGTCTCTCCTGCCCCCCGCTCCGCCCCCCCCTTCCGCCCACCCCCTGCACCTGCCAGTCTCATCGCTCCACCCTCCTACCTCCGCCTCCCCTCCCCTCCCCTCATCGACTCCCCCCCCCCCTCCTTTCTACGACTTCCTCCTCCCATCCTTCCTTCTCCGCACCTCCTCCCCCTACGCGTATCCCCTCTCCCTCCCCGTCCTGCCTGACCCCGCTCGTCTCTATCCATTGCCCTCATCTCATCCCCCCTCCTCCCCCAGACGAAGCCAAGAGGAGGATAACATCGGGTTAGCACGAATCGAGAATCTCTGAGATCTGGCGGCTGGAGAATGTCTTGGGCGCCGCGGCCTCATCAGAGCGTTCCAGAACTGTCTGAGAGTGTTCTGGAACGCTTTGGAACAGATATATCCTCGTCCTAGACCCGTCCGACTCCCCGTCTTCTCGAGGCATTCTCCCCACTGCCCGCACCATCCATTTACCACGCGGCGTCAACCTGGGACCCTGAGGAGCACTGTCGGAGTGGATAAGTTCTGGGACGCCGCAATCGCCCGGTGGGGTCAATGTCTCTTCGCTGGCCTTTCCAGTGCGTCGTAGGCGCACATCGGAGCCAGCCCAAGGCTGCCCTTGCTGTTGGCGCGCACTTTTTGGGGGCTGGCAAGGCCACCGCCAGCCCGAGTAGGAACCCGACGACCCAACGTCCTCCCGATGGAGTACCTCGTGGCCGCGTATGTGGGCGACTGGGTTCCTCGCGTCGCCGATCGCCCCCACCCTGGAACGGTATGCGCTCAGACTGCGCCTCCTCACCGAGTGGCTCGACCTTCTCCCAGCTACCAGAGCTCAAGCCCTGTTCGGGCATTGTCTGTCAGATGGGCCTGACGAGCGACGCTACCATACTGCCATCTCTCTGTGGCAGAGAACTCCCGGCGAGTAGCTCCGAGTGTCGACTCACCGAAGGTGACGAGCGAGCGCGATGACTCCTACAACGCTCACGGACATCATCAGGGAACGAGGTGGATTTCTGCAAGCGGTCCGGTGGAAGCGTGGGCAAGAGCATGACAGGAACACTACGACTACTCCTTCAGCTCACACAACATCATCGGTTACCTGCTCTTGGCCTGGTTGTGAAGAGACAGGGGGGAGCGCGCACTAAAGGAGATATTCGCCCCGGACCACTAGGATAACTCAGCATCATTACCATGGCTCCATCCTCGAATGGTTACAGCCCACGCACCACGTCGAGACCATTTTCGAGTGTAGCCCCGAGGCCGCCTAGTTGACTAGAAGCCGCCTGGATGGGGTCCGCTTAGACGGGGTCGGAGATGACTGCTCACTGCTTGCGCGGCGCCGAACGCCGCGGGCGACTGCCGCCAGCGGACATGATCCTTGGCACCCAGGAAGTGCGCTCCACACCTCGAGGGAGGAGGAGGAGGAGGAGGAGGAGGAGGAGGAGGAAGAGGAGGAGGAGGCGGACGAGGAGGAGGAGGAGGAGGAGGAGAGGAGGAGGAAGCCTGCCCCCGCGCGAGCAGGAGCGGCGACGCGTGGGCGCCAACACCCCGAAAATCGAGGCACGGAGCGCCAGCTCCCCCGAGGACGTACCTCAGTCTCGTCAGTTGGCCCCCTCCTTCCTCCTCCTCCTCCTCCTCCTCCTCCTCTCCTCCTTCCTCCTCCTTCTCCTCGTCAGTCCTCCTCATCCTTCTCCTCCTCCCTCCTCCTCCTCCTCCTCCTCCTCCTCCTCCTCCTCATCATCATCCTCCTCCCTCCTTCCTCCTTCCTCCTGGGGGGCTCTTTGTCGATGACGGTGCGGCGGTTGTCGAAGTGCTCTTTCGCCTCCTCGGCGCCCAAGGGCTGAACAGGGCCCTGCCAGGTCTGGTTGACGACCGTCTCGACCTCCGCGCCGTCCGGCTTGGCCCGAGAGGCTGCAGCGTGCGACGACGCCGCCGCCTGTGCCGCCTGCGCCGCAGCCGCTGAAGCCTGAGCCACCAAGAGGTCGTTCGCGAGGCTTTTCTCGGGGGCATTCTGCTGCTGCTGCCGCGCCAGGCCTGCCTCCCGCTGCCGGCCCTGAATCGACTCCACGACACGCTGGCTGAGCGGCGCGGTGGGCAAGACATATCGCAAGGACCTGAATGGGAGGGTGACGACGGCCACCCCGTCCATGCAGGCCGCCTGCACGCGTTCAGGTACTTCCGCCTCCAGCATTGATCCCAATAGGCGCACGTGCGTGGCTCCGTCCGCTCCACTCTTCGCCAGGAAGGCCGTGAGCGGGACTGCTGCAACTCCTGCCAACCGCCCCGCATCACTGAAAATGTTTGTGGCCGCCAATTTCTCTGGGGTGGGTCTTCCCGGCTCTGGCGTCGAACGCTCCCAATGGAGTGCCGTGTGTTCTTGAACGAGCGGTTCGCTGGCAAGTCTCAGAATCTCCAACGCGGTAACCGCTCTCAGAGCCTAAACAGTTACGCGTGCGAAAGGAGAGAGACAGACCCACCTGCCACCGCACTGCTAGGGTTGTAATGCCTGCAACACGTTGTTGTTAACGAATAGTGATTATGCGACAGAGCCCTACTGCCACGCCAGGAACACCCCCTCACCCCCAGTTGATGTCCCCCCTCGGCCCCCCTACCCCCTGTCTCAACCACGTTGTTCCCTTCGCGCGGCCTGGGTCAGGCTACTGACGGTCGAATGTCATGCGATGATGCAGTCAACCCGTATAGTAAGGATATGTGGTAAGGACGAAAGGGCCTTCGAGGGCCATGTCGCCACTTTGCGAGCAGGGCGCGGCCAGTGAAAGCACCAAGAATAGGCCGAAGTAGAAGGATGCAAGGGTATCCTTGGAAAGTCGATCATCCTTGCTATGTATTCTGGCTGTACAAACAATTAAACGGTCCAATGTCAAGTGATGATAAGATGCGTTTCTCCCCCTCCCTCCCATCCCGGTCATGTCCCACCCTCCTTTCCTCCAGGGTGGGTGCTGGGTGCTAGTTGCACCAGGGTTCCCCTCCGAGCTCGCTCAACGTCTGAGCCCACTCGGCCGCCGAATGGGCTCAATCCGACAAGGTCGCAGGAATCGGGCACGCTCGGACGCCCAATGGACTCAAATGACAAACGGGCACAGAAGAGAAAACCCGTGAAGAGGTCCACTTTGACCATGTGCTTGAAGATCCAGCCGAGCCTATCGCCTGGCCAGTCATCTTCCTCGACGAAGCCGAGGTCGCCTCCGACCTGCGGGAGCGCGTCTCTGCAGCACCCCCCGGCCTCAGACTTCGCCTCCTTCCAGCCCCTTTCCTCCCCTCCCTCCCAGACCCTCCCCACATTCCCCCCCCGGTCCTCCTCCACTCCTTCGGGCTCCTTGACACTCCTCCTCCTCCTCAACTCCTCCTCCTCCTCCTCCTCCTCCTCCTCCTCCTCCTCCTCCCTCCGCTTCATCATTCTCGTCGTCCTCCTCCTCCTCCTCCTCCTCACCCCTCACTCCTCCCCCTCTCCCCACCAGCGCCTCGTCCAGGTTGTACAGGAAAAGCAGGGTCAGGGAGTCGAAGAGCACGTCCTGCACGGTCGGACTCGTCCCCACCACGATGTAGCAGGCCGCGCAGCACAGGAAGACCTCGAGAGGATAAGGAGGGGCAGCAGCAGGAGGGAGAAGGAATAAAGGGAAATTAGGACACACACATAAATACACACGAATAAATTTAGTCCCCATATTTTCCCATATTTTCTGGGTTTTTGTCTTCCCCCCCACATCCCATATTTTCCCATATTTTCCTGGGGATGGACGATTAATTGTGTCTGTGTGTTTTTTCCCCTCCTGAAGGGAGGCGAGAGGGGGGAGGAGATGGAGGAGGGACCTGCCCCGAGGCTGACTGCACTCGCCTCTGGAGCTGAGCTGGAGGCAGCAGGAGCATCAGCAGGAGGATAAGGCAAGAAGACGAGGAGCAGCGGCAACAGGAGGAAACATGACGAGAAGGAGTCGGTTCCGTTCCCAGTTTTCTGGCATGACCGTCCAGCAGTCGATGAACGCGCCAAGGTACAGAAATCTCTGGCCCTGGACCTCGAAGTCAGCTGTGCGCTTGAGGTACTGGAACGTGTTGTACAGCTTGAACCAGGTATCTTTGCACTGCACGACTTGGGGGGAGAAGAAACGCGCGGGGAAACGGTTACCCATCGGTCCGAAGAAGTGGGCATACACATGGAGTAGGAAGGCGCTGAGAGTACGTTGGGCTCCAACCCGGCCCATGAAGAAGGAGGACGCCGCTCGACACCTGAAATAGGAATGCGCCTACGTACTTCAACAACCGATGGGTACGTAGAGAGACCACAGGGCTACCTTCTGAGCCGATTGCGCAGACGTCTGAGCCTGCTCGGCCGCCAAAGTGCTAGCCAGACAGGCTCACTTCCAGCTAAAGCCACGCATCTGTGGCCTCCACGGTTTGGCTAGGGAGGCAATACAGAGAGCGCGGATCTCAGGCACCCTGGCAGCGGGGAGGGTAAGCGAGAGCGGAAAGACGAGAAGAGGAGGACGAGGAAGAGGACCAGGGGAGGAAGGGGGGGAATCATGAGGAGGAGAAGGAACGGCAAGTTTTGTTGGTGGGCGAGGGCGTCCCATACCCCAGGGTCGCCGCACGGCGCACTGCCACAAGCGCGCTATAAACCATAGGTACAATCAGGCATATACATCTATGTATATATACACATATATACGAGCCATACGGGCCTAAGTAGAACGGGGGCAGGCCGAGTGGTCATGCCATGTGGCCACTCGTCGTCCTCCTCCTCCTCCTCCTCCTCCTCCTCCTCCTCCTCCTCCTTCTCTTACACGGGGATGACGTCCAGACCGCCGCACATGGCGCCTTTGGCCCCGACTGGGATTGCACGCGCCTAGCCGCCGCGACCCCCGGGTCAGCACCCAGTGCGAAGGCGGGCCAGCCTGCCACCAAGCCGCGCCGCGGCTTGCCCGTGCAGCCGCGGGCCAGGCCTTGTGCGTTCGGCCGGGGGCAGCAGCCGCACGCTCTGCAGAACAGGGAGAGGGGGCCTTCCTGCCAGAGCCCGTGGCAGCCGCCCAAGCGGGCCGCACCACGCTCAGCACATCGCAGCCGACCAGATCGATCAGTCACAACAGACCAGCGCCTACGTGCTGCGCACCGGTGGTCACCGCTGGCCCCCTCGCGAAAGAGGGCACCACCCGGCTGCAATAGGCGAAACAGCTCTATGGGCCAAAACTCGCGCACACCAAGGAGATGAGGAGGGCACACCCGTCGGCCATCCCGCACCTCTACTCCGCTGTATCACGCTTTCACTGTATCTCTCTCTCGCTCTCTCTCTCTCTCTCTTCGTGGTTCACGCTCTCACTCTCTATCTATCTCTGTCGCCGTATACCGCTCCACGTGTGTGTATATATATATATATATATACTAGAACCATCGCGCGCGCTTCGCGCGCGCTCAAGTTCTAGCTAGGCTTGATCGGCTAACTCATGTAATATCATGTTGATCGCTTCTTGCGTCCAGGGACTCCCTTGGAGGCCCTGCGCAAGCCTCGGAATCGTATAGAAGGGGAAGTGCGGAAGGTATTCAACGACTTGGGGCCCTCAAAGGCTTCCTGAGTTATTTTTGGAAGGTGAGGGGGATCGTAATTTTGGTCTGTTGTGCAAGAGTAGACCGGGGGCCAAGCTTGGAAAACAAAAAATGTGGGATTCACATTTTTTTCCAGTTCCTCGGCGCTGTTCGGCGCTGTTTTCTGTTTGTGCCTCGCGGGTTTTGTTACCCGGGCCCTTGACCCCCTGGGGCTTCTGGAGGCCTCCTGGAGGCCTGGAGAGCCGTCGGAAGGGTGTCTCGGGCTGCGCGGGAGCGTGTTGGGCCGTTCTTTACGTTATGGGGGCTCCTTGGGGTCGTCATGGGCTGTCCTTCGGCGTCTTGCGGTCTCCCCCTGGGGAGCTGGGAGGCGCGGTACCGGCCAGATGTCAGGGGATGTGTGGGACCCCCGAGTAGGAGTCCCATTTTTCTAAAGAAGGGAATTCTGGGAATTCCCTTCTTTAGAAAAGTGGCTGTCTTCTTCTGGGGCCCCTCTCGGGCGCTTCTTGGGCTTCTCTTGGGCCGTCTTGGGGGCCGATTGGGCCGTCCTGCGTTCCTCCTGGGCCGTCTTGGAGATTTCTTAAGGGCCTCCTAGGCCGTTTTGGGTGGCCGCTTGGGCCGTCTTGGACGCGGTGACAGCCCAAGAGGCGAGCATGCGAAAAATCTACGTTTCCCCATAGGAATGGACGGATTTTAGTTTCTTGGGGCTCTCTTGGGGTGCCTCTTGGAGCGTCTTGGGGTGCTTTGGGGGGCCTGCTTGGGGCCTCTTGGGGGCGTATCGGCGCCTCCTGGGATCTCTTGGGGCCGAAAGCTCGGAATTCGAGTGGCTTTCTTTCTCTGGGACTCCTCTCGGGCGCGTGTTGGGGCTCTCTTGGGCCGTCTTGGGGGCCCATTGGGCCGTCCTGGGCTTCTCGTGGCCCGTCTTGGAGCTCTTTTGGGGGCCTCCTAGGCCGTCTTGGGAACCCCTTGGGCCGTCTTGGACGCGATGACAGCCCAACCGGCGAACATACGAAAAACACACGTTTCCCCAAAGGAATGGGACGATTTTTGCTTTTTGGAGCTCTCTTGGGGTACCTCTTGGAGCGTCTTGGGGTGCTTTGGGGAGCCTTCCGGGCGCTTCTTGGGGGCGTATCGGCGCCTCCTGGAGCCACTTGGGGTCGAAAGCTTGGAATTCGATGGTGGCTTTCCTCCTCTGGGGCCCTCTCGGGCCCGTCTTTTGGGGACTCTCTTGGGCCGTCTTGGGCCCTTCGTGGGCCGTCCTGGAGCTCTCTGGGGCTGTATTGGGGCCCTCTGGGGCGCGTCCTCGGCCGGACCGACAGCGAAAACAAGCAATATGTCAAACATATACGTTTTACAAAGGGAATGGGGCTATTTTGGCCCCTTGGGGCTCTCTTTGGGGCCCTATTGGGGGTCGCTTGGGGTGTCTTGGAGGCTTCTGAAGCCGCCTTGGAGGCCATGTTGGGCGTCTGGGAGCGACCTTCGGGCGTCCCGGGTCTGTTCTGGAGCCTCTTGGGGCCTCCTTGGTACCTTCTGGCGGTCTTCTGTGAGGCCCCGGGGCTCCCCGAGGGCCCCGGAGCCCACATTTGTGGTAGCGGCGCCGGCCTCGGGCGCCCGGACCCGGTGCGCCGTTATATGTATACACCTATATGACCACCCCTGAGGAGATGAGGAGGTTCGGGGGAGGGACCAACGTCTCACTAATACATCCCACTATCCATCTTACAATCGATCCCGCTAGCGTTCTCACTATCGATGACACTGTCAATATCGCTATCACTGTCAGTATCGATGTCACTATCGATCTTACTATCGATCTTGCTATCGATACCACGATCGGTCTCACGATCGACCCCACTATCGATCTCGCTACAAATATCACTACCGATCTCACTGTCGATGTCACTATCGATCGCACTACCGTTCTCATTTTTGATCTTAAAATCGGGCTCACGATCGGTCTGACGCTCGATCTCACAATCGGTATCACTATCGAGCTCACTATCGATTTCACCATCGATCCCACTATAGATTTCACGATCGATCTCACTATCGGTCTCACTATCGATCCTACTATCGATACCACAATCGGTCTCACGAACGATCTCACTATCGATCTCACGATCAATCTCGCAAACGACGGCCTCACTACCCCTCTCAGTATTGATCGCACAATCGATCTCGCTATCGGTCGACCTATCGGTATCATGATCGATCTCCCTATCGATTTCACTATGGCTATCACCATTGATCTCGTTACCCCTCTCACTATCGTTCGCCCTTTCGATCTCAGGAGGCAGGTTATTGTGGTGTATGATGTCTGCTTACATCTTCGTCTACCTTATGTGCGTTATTATTATCTATGCTTTCTGTTCATGTCTGTGTGGGTCGTGGTGGTGGTGGTGGTGTTTGTTGGTGTGTGTATGCGTGCGTGCGTGGGTGCTTGCGTGCGTATTTGCCTGCGTGCGTGCGTGCGTGCGTGCGTGTGTGTGTGTGCGTGTGTGTGTGTGTGTGCATGTGTGTTTGTGTGTGTGGTGTGTGGGGGGGGGGGGCGCGTGTGTGTGTGTGTGTGGGTTGGTGGTGGTGGTGGTGGAGGTGGTGGTGGTGGTTGTGGTGGTGGTGGTGGTGGTGGTTGTGGTGGCGGTGATGGTGGTGGTGATGGTGATGGTAGTGGTGGTGGTGGCCGTGGTGGTGGTGGAGGTTGTGGTGGTGGTGGTGGTGGAATTGGTGTGTGTGTGTGTGTGTGGGTCTGTGTGTGTGGGGGGTGGTGTCGGGGGGGGTTCTTCTCTCACCCCCCCAAAAAAACCGGCAGGTTGTTGTTGGTGGTGTGTGTGCGTGTGTGCGTGCATGCACCCCCCCACAAAACAATCCCTGCCCGTGGTTGTTTGATCATTTTTTCGGGGGGAGCGGCTGGCAGGGCCCAGTGGGGTTTAGCAGGGTGGTTGACCAGGGCGTGGCAGGGCGTACAAAGGCTAAGCAAGGCTTTCCACGCCTTGGCAGGTTTCAACAAGGCTCAGCAAAGCTCAGCAACCCCGAAGGCTTCGCAGGGACTAGCAGGGCTGATCAAAGCCTGCAACGGCTGGGCAAGGCGCATCAAGGCTCAGCAGCGCTGAACAGAGTTTATCAGGCCCTGGCAGGGCTTCCCAAGGCTCAACGGTGGTTGACAAAGTTTACCAGGGCTGAGCAGAGCGTGGCAAGGCGTATCCAAGCTAAGGGGCTTATCAGGGTTGACAAAGGCTTACCAAGACTTAGCAGAGCTTGCCAGGGCTGGGCAAAGCCTGGGCTCAGCAGGGCGCGCCAAGACTTAGCAGGCTTAGCAGATCTTGCCAGGGCTTAGCAGTGGCCAGGGCTTGGCAATGGCTGGCTGTGATCAGCAGGGCGCACCGGGACCCAGCAGGGCTTAGCAAAGCTTGCCAGTGCTTAACAGTGCTTAACAGGCTCAGCAAGGCTTCGCAAGGCGTGCCCATGCCTGAGCAGGGCTCAGCAGAGCTCAGCAGGGCAGGGCTCAGCAAAGTTTGCCAAGGCGGAGCAAGGCTCAGCCTGCGATGGCTAAGCTCG